TCCCAAGTGTACAGGGGCTGCTAAGATTTTGTATCTTGCTTCAGGGCACACTTTTTTTCTGCACTTAGTTACAGTTCTTAGCTCAGTCGGGTACCAAGGAGCCTTTGGTGTCGACAGGATGTCTGCCTGTCTGTCTTTGCCTCTTCTACCCCTTACTGGCCTGGTTGGTTCCCGCCATGCATGTCTGCCAGGACTGAACCTAGGTCCCCTTGCAGAGATGCGCTGGCAATTGAGTGAGCAGCTCCGTTGCCTGGAGCTTCAGGGAGAGCTGCGGCGAGACTTGTTGCAAGAGCTAGCTGAGTTCATGCGGCGCCGGGCAGAGGTGGAGCTGGAGTACTCTCGGGGCCTGGACAAGTTGGCTGAACGCTTTGCCAGTCGCAGTGGTCGCCTGGGAGGCAGCAGCCGGGAGCAGCAAAGCTTCCGGTAGGTACCACACTGGCAGCAGTGCTTTACGGGGCCTGAGACCTAGGCTCCCTGGTCTGAATATTCCTCTGCTACAGGAAGGAGCCAACTCTCCTGTCATCCTTGCACTGCTGGTCTGTGTTACTGGAACACACACGGCAACAGAGTCGTGAAAGTGCCGCCCTCAGCGAGGTGCTGGCTGGACCCCTGGCTCAGCGCCTGAGTTATATTGCCGAGGATGTGGGACTCTTAGTCAAAAAGGTAGGTTCACACAAGTTGTGGAGCGCTTCAGGCTCTAACAAAGTCCATGGGGAATCTATCTGGAGGCACTGTGGTTGAGAGGCATGGGATGCCATGTACAAGTAGCAGCCCAAGGTCGGCTTGTAGCAATCTCAGGTGGGATGGGTTGTTACAGAATGATGGGAGGCACTGAGTAGGACAATGCTATTTTCATACATACCCCTTCATCTCTAGAGTAAGGACCTGGTGCAGCAGCTGCAGGATGAGCTACTGGAGGTGGTCTCAGAACTCCAGACAGTAAGCAGGACCTACTGTGTGCTGATCAGGGGGAAGCAGGAACGGCCCCAAGCCATTGCATCTCCAAGTCAGGGTCAAGAGAATGGGTGCCCAGGGATGACCCGAGTCTGGAGGGGCAACAGGCATGGGCCTGTCTATGCTCTGGGGACAGAGTGGTTAAGATAACAACATACTTAGGTAAAATGGCCCAACCCTCAGATCTGAATACTGGGGTCCTGAGGGGTGCTGTTCCTGGTCATGACTTTCAGGGGGCTGCCTTTCCTGGGCTTCCCTGCAGACCAAGAAGACATATTATGTGTACCACTTGGAGAGCATGAATGCTGAGACCAAACTCCGGGAAGCTGAGCGACAGGAGGAGAAGAGGTCAGGCCGGAGTGCCCTGCCCACCACTACTGCTGCCTCTGCCAGCACCACAACTACTGTTACCACCAATGAGACAGGACCCCTCCGAAAGAGCTCTCTCAAGAAAGGAGGGCGGCTAGTGGAGAAGGTGGGCCTGGAGAGCTATGGCACCCCTCTCTGTAGAGCTCTGATGGCTCTAGGATGTCCATGGGACAAAAGTGTGTGTGGGGGGGAGCTATAGGCCTCTAGCAAGATTTTTTCTTCCTGGTCAGACCTGATGGCTCTGGGATATGGAAAGACAATGCTACAGAGATTTCAACAGACCTGAAAGATGGGTAAAAACAATCATACTGTCATGACAGAGTGATTTTTACACATTATAATCCAATCATGTTGTCCCACATCCCTGCCTGCTGAAGCAGAGAGCTGTAGTACTCTAACCTTAGAGGACTTTTTCCTAGCTAGCTTCTACATTTTTAGGAGCATGAGAACTCAGGATGAGTGAGGGACTGGGTGCCATTTCGGGAGAAGCATTCAGGGGGAACCCCATGAAGAGAATAGAGAGGCTCCAAGCTAAGTGAGGCTGAGGGCAATGGCTTTTGTTTTGTGCCACCCCCATGTGCAGCCTAATTAGCCTTTTCATATATTTTCCTAGCTCAGACCTCCATCATGGGGTCTGAGTATGTAACACGAATAAATAAATGACCCAGAGACTGATACTGGGTTTCAAGCTTCAAGCTGAATATCAGAAAAGCAAAGTAGCCGGCCACTAGCTCTCACCTCTAGCTCAGGCTGAAAGGGCTGATCCACACACGAGCTCTCACCAAGTCTCAAACTGCTGCCTCTCCCCAGTGTGGCTGGAGAACGAATGCCTCTCTGAGACCTTGCTTCTGTCTTATATACTTCTCTAATGTTGGGATTAAAGGTGTGAGCTATAATTCTCTTTAGGACTGGGTCAATCTTGTGTAGATCTGGGTGGCCTTGGACTCACAGAACTCTGTCTACCTCTTAATCCTGAGTCCTAGGATGAAAGGTGTGTGCCACCACCTCCTAGCTTCTGCCTGCTGGGATTAAAGGTGTGTGCTTGACTTCTAAGGCTTGTGGCTGACTTTGCTTTCCTAAATCCTCAAGCAAGCTTTAATAAATCATAAATAATATATCACTACATGAATATGAATGCCTTTTACTTAGTCATATGTTTCCATGTGATCTACTTCCATTTCTCTGGAGAATGACATGAG